TTTGGAATACCTTCTTGATTTTTTTTAAAACCTTCTTGATCCCCTTTCTTAATAAATTCTTAATATATTTCTTGTTATTTTTTAACTTTTTGATATACCTTTTTGATAACCTTTTTTAAATATACTTCTTGATATATCTTTAAAATCCTTCTTGAAAACCCTTTTTAAATTATTTTTTATAAAACTTCTTTGATATACTTTTAAAAATTAAAAATCCTTGTTTTAAAATTTTTTTTTCCCTTTTAAAAATTTCCCCTTTTGAAAAATTTTTTATTTTTAATAAAACTTCAAAGAGAACCTTTTAAAAAAATAAATCTTTTTGTTTTTATATCATTTTGAAAAGATAAAATAAAACGGGTTCATGTAAAGTATTTTTTAAAGCTTCGTGAACCTTTGATTCTTATAAATTTAGGTCTATGTTTAAAATTATTCTTTAATTTGAAAATTTTGAATTTTTAAACTTGACATTCACTTTTTAAAAATTTTTTTTTACATTGACTGACATAAGTCTTTCTCTGTTTACTTCTTGATAATCTATTGAATCAATAGCAAGTCTTGTAGGTCCTATGTGATATATTGAGTATATTGGATATACTTCTAATAAGCCTTCTTGTATATTTTTATTACTTTGAAATCTAAAACCTAAGTACTGGACTTATATATTTTCATGATATATTTATTTATATATTGATAATTTTATATATTTTATATATCTTTAATACCTTGATATATACCTTTATTAATAATTTTATATATTTCAGTATCCTGACTAAGTTTTAATTCTCTGTTGTCTTTAGAAGGTTGTGTTGGGCTCCTATGAAGTCCGTAAAATAGAGGTTATTGTGTAATTGAGCTGGTGATTTGCTAAGAGTGTACAAACTTAATGTTAATTAAGTCAGCTTCTTTGCTTGTTTTATTTATGACTGTTGAAAATGGAAGTCTATACAGGTCCATGGATGAACTTATTTATGATTCAAGGTAGGTGATTTATTGATATTAGGTTGGATGATTTAATTATATGATCTTAATGAAATTTGTGAGTGTATAATTGGAATGTCTTATTTATATCATATATTTAGTTGTACCTGACTGTTACAGTTCCATCTTGGTGAGTCTTGGTATAGCAAGTGTATGGAGGTTGTATTGAGGCTAGTGAGGATCATTGTGTGAGTTATAGCTTATAGAGTCTGGTGAGTTGTATGATGTTTGTGATGTAGTTGTATGTGGTCACTGACTCTGTGAGCTGGTATGATGTAGGATATATGTTGAGTGGTATGACAGGTAGGATGATTG